TGGCACCCAGAAAAGGGGAGATCAGATAAATACCACAACTGGGACAGGTGTCTTTCATGTGCTGGAGAAGTTGAGCCTGCAGTGAGTGGTTTGATTTCAAATCCGATTTCTCTAGGCTGTCTGAAGAGTTGGAAGTGCCCAAGGGTGTGTGTGTGATCATGGCTTTGGCTCCTGCCAGACACCTGGAGCATAAGGAACATCTCCCTGGGCATAAAGTGCTGCCCCACGACCCCCAAAGCTGCGTTCACACTGAGGGGTATCCTCACAGCTTAGAAGGCACACACAGCACTCACCTCAGCTTCAAAGCTCTCAACTTAACAGCTTTTTGTTTTCCAAGGGGCAGATGCCAAAATTGTTAATTAGGTGGGCCACCACAAGAAGGCTGAGCTGTTTTCAGAAGGTAAGAGTAGACCCTCTACAGCTGGGGCTTTCCAACGCCCTCCCACGCATGCTCTCTGGCACTCCCAATGGCTTACCTCCCATCACGGGCTTGGACGGGAAACTGCCTCATGCCTGGACAGCCAGCTACATAAACTCTACTTCAGGGACTGTAAGGGAGACTGGGTTTTGTTTGTGGACCTCAGCTTCAGCTCTGGACAGTAAAGGTGTGTCAGATCCCTTTTTCCAAAGCAGGATGTCCTTTTAGTCACCTGTATGTGCAAAGTCAGGGATTCTTCCTCAAGAAAGCGATCTGGTCCTGGAGAAAACTGCTGATCAAGCTGGAGCTAGCTGCAAACTGCACTTCAACACCATGCCATAACCTGGCGCCAAAACCTTCAGAAAAAGACAATAAATGCTGAACTGGATTTTAAAAAGAAGGCTGGTCGCCCTGCTACAGCATCATCAAGCATGCTTGCCACAGTGCTTAAAATGCTGTATCCCATGCAGACAACACTGCTATAAAACACTCAGAAGTACACTTTGGAGGCAACAGGAGCCAGGTGAAGTAGCTTCAAAGACCAGCAGCTCTGTTCTAAGTGATGTGCAAAAGCCTAAAGATGAAGTTTTCAGCCTAAGCTGAAAATCATCACGAAAAACTATCAGGGAATTCCTGGTGTGCAGCTGGAATGGGAGGGCATGAAAAGGTGAAGTATCACGAAACAGGAGGATCCCCTGGCTCAGAGCCCCCAGCAGCATTTTTGAAGAGGCACAGTTTTCTCTACACAAGGTGTAGCAGGCCTTCTCCAGCACCTCCCAGTAGGAACACTGGGCAAGAAGGGACCGCCCAGTTACTTTGTCATCCTGGCCCCAGGAAGCTACATAGCCCAGAAGGGGATGTGGACATACTCTCCAACACCAGTGGCTTTGGAGTAATACCACTTAAGTTCTGAGTTTTGCATCTTCCACAGCCTTCCAGGCTTCGAGCGAACTCTTCAAAACCATGGTGACAACTGACTACAGGGAAAACACATCCCCTCCAGTTTGGATTAGGATAGGTTATCACCACAGATGACAGTCACCCATCCTCATTAGCTCAGCTCATCTGTTTTCCTAGAAACACCTCCCTTCCAACTTAGTTTAAATACTGCTGTCAGGATTAAGCTTAAAACTTAGTTCTCCTTCCAAAACTTAGACAATTCCATTTCTTTAGGTCTCAAATAATTCCATATCCCCTGAGATGAACCTCTGGCTGTGTAACAAATGGACATGCCACGGCTGACCACATGAACACCCCTCTGCAGCCCCCTCCTCCCATCCCAGTCCTGATGGGGACAAAGAAAGGGAGCTGGTGGTATGAAAAGCATAAATATAAGGTATACAAGAACTAAGACATGTGGATAAAACAGAAGAGAGACATAGGCAACTGGAGATAATACAAGGCAAGAAAAGAAACGTTCGCATGCTGGGGAAACACAAACTGCCCCCTCTACCTGGATATCACAGAGCATGTTTTCTTAGTCTTTCCTTTTGGTCTAACAAGCTAGTTTTCAATTCTGCAACCCTCCTTAGACTTTCCACCTGAATCTAAAGGCTCCTGCCCACAGCCTGCTTTTCTGTATGTACGTTCAGGCAGACTCATCAGGCAACCTATACATGAAAAGAGGTTACTGATTAAAAGGAAAAACCCTCCAGCCCCACCACAAACTGCTTTATCCAAATGCCACTAAGTATTTACAAAGTCTGAAAAATGCATTTATAAACCCAGACATGTGCTAAGCACTTAAATATTTCATACGCTCCACACAGCTTTAAGCAGAAGTGCAAGTCATGTCCAAGCAGATTGCACTCTTTCAGTTTTCTATGTCCCTTTGAGACCTGAATTTTAGTCTGCCTGAATAGAAAGCAAAACTGAAATCAGGTTTGTGGGGGTTTTTTGTCTAGTTTTTTTTGGGGTGGGTGTTTTTTTTTTTTTTTTGAAGTTGAAGAGCTAGAGCTTTCAGAATGCAGAACATTTTTTCCCTTGTTCATGCCCTGATAAAATTAGCAAACCAGAAGTGACAGTATCTCTTGATTTGTAAGTGGATAGCAGCCAGGTAAATCTCTCTCGGTACAAACACACAATTTTTGAATTAGCAAACAATGAATTCGCTCTTAGGGACTTTCCATGTCCTGTCGGAAATAGCACAGCAAGGGACTTTCCATAGTGGGAGCGTTGAGATGCTGCAGGACATTACACACATTGCTGGCTACAGATGAAATCATACTGCACAAGGCAAACACTATTTTGTGCCACTAAATTAAGAAGCCTACCCGTAAGGCAGAGTTTAATATCAGTCCACAGTACCAAGAGAGACTCTGGGCTAACACGGTCATTTGACGTCTCCTTTCATCAGCCCTCCTCAGCCACAAATACCATCTCCTAGCTCCAACCACATGAGGACAGCCAGGCCCGATTAAATGCCACAGCTCTTTGGGAGGCAGCTGGGAGGAGAGATAAGTCGAGCCAGACCTTGCCTCCTCCCACCAGTTCCCAGGAAAGAATTAACTTTTCCTGAGAGGGCACAAAATAATCTTAACCCCCATTAGACTGAATGACATCTGTGGTAGGCGGGAGAGATAAGCTCAACCCCAAGACAAACAAACTAGCACTGCTCGAAATTCCCCTTCCCCTTTCATCGCACAAGACTGCCTCAAGACTAATAAAAACCATGACAGTCAAGATCAATGCTGCAGACCTGCAGCTCAAGCACACCAGAGCCACACCTCTATGAAACATAGTCTGCTTTAGCAGACTTTTGAAGGATCTTCTGAAGATTAGGCAGAGAGTTAAAAAAAAAAAAACAAAACAACAAACACAGCCTTATCCGTTCAGATGCTGTTAAGCAGTTGTGCTTAAGGTCCCAGAGCAACACACACACCCGCAGCCTTGCAAGACTCATTCCAGGACAGCTCATTGCCCTTTTGAACTTCTAGTGCAACTTCTGGCTGGACTCAAGCCTGTGTTCAAATATTTGTAAGACCACACAAGGAGAACCTTTGGCAGCTGATGAGTTTTGCTGAGCTCTGATTTTTTTTTAAACCGAGGAGAAAAAGTTTAGAAGAGCTCATCAGTCACAGCACAATCAATAGCACTGGAAGCTGCTGACAAATATAATTTGGTTTAGTCTAACTGAGATGAGCTCACTTACTACAACCACCACTTTGAACACTGCAGCGGGCATCGGACTTCTAGTCACAGGTCACCAGCAGAAATTGAAGCATGAGTCAAAGAATCTGCAGGGATCAACAGCACAACTTGAACCTGGAACCTGAGTAAAACACACTGTACCCTGAAATGCAACTCCCAAACTCTCAGCGCTGCATCAGTGTTAAGCTTTTAACTCGACATTTATTCAGTCATACATCCGCACCATGAACCACTGACAGATCTATGAATGAGGGTTTCACAGCAGAAGAATCATTTAGCACCCTACATCCCCTCATCTTTTGGACTGATCTTTTAGCACAAAGAAGCAGAAGGTTCTAGACAGCAGGACAAAGAAGCAGAGGTGCAGAAGGATCTCTCTGTTAACAGGCTCTGCAAGCTAGGCAGAAAACTCAGGCATAATCCACAGCTGTTGTTTCTTCCTGCCACCTTGCAGCAGCATTGCCAAGAGAATCCAAACGTTACCCTAAACAGACCAAGGTTGAACCTCTTCCTGACACACATCTCAGTCACTACCAATGCTCCATGAACCACAGGGCTACAATCTTTACCTAAGGCAAGTGTGAGAGGGAAATAAAATTTATCCTCTTCTCTCAGGCCCTCCATGTGGTGGTTCTTCCATTCCAAGAGGGATGGCAAAACTGTCCTCCAGGAGCACCAAAGCTTCACAGGTGAATACACATTCAACTACTAACCACCAACGCATTTTAACAACGCAATTTGCCACAGCAGAGTTGACTTGTTGGAAAGCCCAGGGAAGCATGGGGTCCACTGCCATCCTCAGCAAGAACACGTTTCTCATGAGGGATGTTAGCTGTATACGTGCTAAAGACCAAATGCCCACAGCCATGATTAAGGCCTGGATTAAAAAGCTGCTGGGCTCCTCAAGAAGAGCATGGGTGGAAAAACCACTGCTCATGGCCCAGAACAGCTCGGAGCGATGGGTGGCCAGCAAGTGACCAAAACCCAGGGCCACTGCCCTGGAAGCTATGGCTGGAAATAGGATTGTGGCCAGGCCACTTTCGCAAGCTCATAAGTCTGAAGTAGGTTTTAGGTGCACATAACGCAGAGAAATTCACCACAATTTCATGGCACAGCACAGTTTCTTGACAGTTTGCTTGTCTTTTATAGCGGAAAAGAGTTGGAGATAGAGTGGGTGGTTCCCACCACGGAAGGGATGCACTTGCTGCCTGCGATCTCGAGCAAATCTGAAATTGTTTCAGTTCAGCCTGTGCCCTCAACAGGGCACACAAATCTTGCTCAGTCAAGATATCTCTCCAGCTTGCAGTGAAGTCCAGGGAGTTGACAGCTCCCGCTACCACTGTCAGTGGACTAGGAAAACCACCTGAGCCTTCACCAAACACAGAAGAAAGAAAAAGGACACAGACATCAAAAGCCTTGCTTTGATCTTTACCTCGTATTCTTTAATAGTCCCCTTCCAAGTGCAGCCACTGTTAATACAGACAGCAGGCAGACTTTCCACCTCCCGACGAGCTGCGTTGTCTGGGAAAGCCTAAAATGGAAAAAAACAAGCAAACCACAAAAATTACTGAGGGGTTGCAATTTTGGTCAGGTCTCTTAATTCTTTCTTAAGATTCTATTAAGACTCCTCCCAGGCCAGCTGCCACATCACATCCTCAGAAGTGTGCTAATGGCAAACACATCGTTATTACAGCGTTTAAGTAGGCCATCACTATATTAACGTGACCTGGATTTTAGAAGCTGGAGAGTCCACCACATTAATCATAACTCTCACTACTGAAGAAAATGTTTCCTAGGAATAAGGGATTCTCAGAACTTGTGTTTTAAACAAAAACTGCAAGTGGTACTAATGACCTCAGTGAGCTGCTTTATTTTTTAAAATGCATTTCTACTTACTGAGCTTGTTTCCAAAATAGAAATTCCTTCTTCGTATATTCCTTCCTGAATACAGCTGGCACACTTTTGAGGTCCAGCACTATCAGACAGAAAAATAATCATCAAACACAACAAGAAGAGACCGATTTATGATTTAACAATAAAGCGATTTCTGGTAACTTTATAAAATGAAAACATTTTCTTATTTTTAAAACACCACATTAAGCCTTTGCTCATGTGTATTTTTGACGCCCATTTCTAATTCTAATTTTTTTTCTTCTCCTGATTAACCACTCCATTCAACTTCCCTCACTTAAAGGCAAGACTGAGACAGAATACAAGGAAACTTCCCTGGAAGCCAGCTTGTTCTTAAATTTCTCGTATTTTGGCATGATAACCATACGAAGACTTTTAGGAGCAAGTTCCTTTGGTAGTTGTGAGGAAGACTTGAAGGAGATAGGTGATCCACCTGGATTGCCACCTGAATGGCAAAAACAATCCAGGAGATTCTGTAAAAGTGAACTTTGAAGCAAGCCTCAGAACAATAAAAGCAAGTCAGAGATTACACGTTTCCTTAAAGAAGGCCTGATGCCGAACCTCAATGATTAAACACAGTTCCCTCGCTGAGAAGGTCCTGAAAATGAGACTTTTCTCTCCTTTCTGACTTTTTACTTTCTCTCCTTTATTTCTCTACGTTTTTACTTTACTTTTTTCTCTCCGTTTTTACTTGAAAATGCCTTTTCAAGCATTTTGTCTTCAGAGTGAAGGCACAAAAACTACCTTATAATTTTCTTCAGACAATAGGAACAGTAGCGATGTCCACACTGAGCTTGAAACGGCCTCCTCAATATATTCTTGCAATCGGAGCAGAGGTATTTGACCTCTAGTTTAGTTCCCAGGATCTCCTTTGCAAATCCAGGCTGGTTTAGATCCAAAGAGCCAGGCGGAGTAGAGTTTGCTGCTGCCATGTGAACGAAAAATTCTGGCTGTATCTCCAGAGCCTGAAAATAAAAATATTTTCCCTGTTCATTTATAACTGGACGGTGGTAATTTGCCACATAAACTGCATTACTCACAGCATATTACACTGGCACCCAAAGCCCATCAACACAGGTAAACACACCGATGTAAACCACAAGCCTGCCTTCACTTAGTTAAAAATATGGAAAGAAATCTTAATTTTAGAATTAAATCCAGAACAAAGAGACAAGGCGGGCAGACCTCACTAAAATCCCCATCCAAGTTTATTGAAATGCAGCCTATTCAGAGAAATCAAGGCTGCTGGCCTAAAACAAGGCAAAAAAAACATCCTAAAGCTGATCAGGAATATAAATAAATCACCTCAGTCCACCAAAAACCTGTAGGCACTAAGTGAGGTAACCACAGCCTACCACCACTTGTTTTCACATCTGCCAGTTGTCAAAAAGGACGATAATTCTGCCCAAAGCCAGCCGTTCCCGGGGAGAGCGCCTGCACACCACGGAGCCCAGATTTACTGGCAATACCCAGGCAGGAGCACAGGATTGTCCAGAGGGCTGAAAAAACAAAGATGTGAGAGGCACAAGGAAATGAAAAAGGAGGAAAAGAATAAAATGCATCTGTTTTGACCACTTAAGATGATCTAAAGACGTATCTCCCACCTTTGTGCCCTGCAACTACATCTCACAGCCATCTAAAACACTTCAGGTAGCGCATCCAGGTACGTCCCTTAAATCAGTGCAGTTGAGGAAGCGGCGAGGCTCACTCAGCTCCCCACACACTTTACGTCTGGGATAACATCCAACTTTTACCTGTACCAGGGCTTGTTAAAGCTGATACAGCAATCCCAGAACGGGGACGATGAGCGTGGTGTTAACGAAGATCCCTTTCCACACCGGTTCCACTGTTGTAATTGGACCGAGCATCATTATTTCTATGCTACAGCTATTTAACCAAGCCTTTAATTCAAATTCCACTTTTTTAGTGGTATCAAGACTGTTCCTCACCAAGCTGTTTTCACAGGCCCAGACACACGCACCTCCCGGGACGTCCGGGGATGCCAAGGGATAACGGGAGGTTGGCGGGAGACCTAGGCACCGGGCGTGGAGCTCGACCGGCTCTCTCAGGGTTCTGGAAGCCCCCACTACGGGAGACTCCACTGTCACCGGCCCCGGTTACAGCCCCCGCCCTCACCGGGAGGAACACCTCCCAGGCTGCGAAGCGGTGGCGGAGCCTCCCTGCACCACCGGCACCCGGGGCAGAGGGCGAGGCTGCCCGCGCTCGGCGGGGACTCGAAGCCACCGCC